ATATATATATATATATATATATATATATATATATATATATATATATATATATATAAAGATCGTGTAAACTGTGTTTCTTCAACAAAATATTTCTCAAAAATCAAAATAATATGTGATTGAATGGAGAGTGGGGCCCAATACATTCAAATCACCAAAAATCTGACCGATTCAACAGGTAACCCTTCAACACGCGTGTGACTCTCTAGTCACAGCGTCACGCGCTTTTCACGAACGTGACCACACTGAGCTATTTTCTTTAAATTTATATTTTCCAATAAAAAAAATATGCTACCGATTTTTGTAATTATATTATTTTTCTTAACTTAGCAATTTCATTTTCTATATTAATATTCTAATCAATATGTTTTATTTATATATATTCGATAATTGGAAATCAATAATTGATATCATATACAAAATATGTATTATTATATCAATAAAGAAATATCAGTATATTTTTATAGATAGCATTAGAAAACATTAATTTAGACTAAAATACTTATCAGTTAATGCATCTCAGTCTCAATATTTGTTCTAAAACACGTCATATTTTCATTTATTTCTCGCTAGAGAAAGAATAATTAGAGGCGAGTAAGTAACACGCGCTGAATAGGCACGTGGGAATAGAAGAGAGAAACAAAAGGAGGGAAAGTCATGCACGCGTTCTCACAGGTTCGCGTTGGGTGGGCGACAGAGAATGTCTTCACTCGGCCGCCCACTCCCACTTTTCCCCATCCCTTATTTGTCCATTTTCCTCTTCCTATCTTTAATTATACCAATAAAATAATTATTATTATCATAATATCCACTTATATTTATTCCTCCTTTATTTTATTTTATTTATTGTTTAGGCCACACAAAAACATGTTGGGCTCGAGTCTCTGCTTTTGAGCTTTGATGTTCGATTTGATGATCTCCTTCTCTTGCTCCAATTATTGATCCCAATAATTTTTTTTTGGTAAACGTCAAGTGTCATATGTTTCATTCATTCCTTTGTTTTTTTAACTAGTGGTTTGATTTTCACTTGGAGAAAATTTACCTTTTGCAAAGGTTTTAATCTATTACCACGATTTTGGAAATTATTATAAAAAAAAATATAGATTCGACTTACATTTTTTATGAAAATTTTGTCACCCTTTTCATTGTCGCGTTTGTTTTGACAATAGGAATTGGACTTGGAATCCATTTGTTACTCTAAAACTCCATACCGTTCTCCCAAACGGTTACAAAATTATCACAGAAAATATAAAATAATAATTTTTGTTAATTTTAAATTAAAATTTGATTGGTTTATAGTCGGATAAATATTTTTATTATTTTATTTAGCCTTTTGGTGTCGAGATGATGTATTGTGTTTTGTGGGAAGTTGGAATATTGAAGAGTCAAACTCGGAGGGAAAGAAACTGTATGCATACGTCTCCTTTGGTCAAACAATCATATAATTCTCCCTCGCATTTTCTTCGAAACCCACTTGCACTTATATTATTATTATTATCCATGTAACAATTTCATATAATATAATTTATTTGACTATATCCATAATCCCATGGTCATAGCTAGTGAACTATGAAGAAACAAATCATGATGATTATTTAATATTTTTCTTTTTGTTTTATCAGTCGACCAGTCTATAAATATCTCTCTCGTCATGAATAAAATTGTATACAAATATGATGGTTCATAATGAATTATGCAAGAGGTGAGAATACATAAAAAAATACTTAGGTTGCCATATTCAGATTATAATGAAGAAGGATATGTGATGGTTTTAAGTTTAACTCTCACATTAAAAAAAGAAATATTCTTATTTTATAGATCTATTAAAAATAATGTCCAAACATTGTGATATTGCGTTGAAAATATTATGATGTTAGGGCGTAGCTTATTGGGCCGTGGAAATTAATTGGGCTATGTATTCTAGGCCCATATATGTCCAAGTGAAGTGAATTTGCCCATGAGGCTTAACCACTTTTTTTTATTTATAGATCCAATGTCATAAGCTCATAAACCTTTTTTTAGTTATAACTTTTCTATTCCAGTTAGGGTTAAAACGTATTTTTTTTTTCCTGTAAATAAATTTATTTTTTATAAAGTAACCTGGGCTTCTAGACCACGATTTAAAAGGTAAACTGGCATAAAAAAAATTTTGTCGAAATTTGAAGTGTAAGCGTAGATTTTAACCAAAATTATAATTTCAGTGATTTTTTTAGGGGTGGGCGTTTCGGAAAACGGTTCGGGTTCAGGATGGAAATGGATCAGTTCGGTTTTTTCGGTTTTGCAAAAATAGGTACCAATCGGTTTTTATATTATGTTCGGTTCGGTTCGGTTTGGTTCTGAGTTTTATTAAAAAAATGATAGATTTTCTTTAAAAATATTCGGTTTTTCGGAATTTTTTAAAATTCGGTTCGGTTCGGTTCGGTTCCGGAAAAATTCGGTTCTCTAAAAATAATACCGTTCGGGAATTGAGAACGGTTTCGGATCGAGAAAAATATCATTTTTTCGGTTCAGTTCGGTTCGGTTCTTCCGGTTCTGAAGAACCGAACCGAAAATCGAGGGGGAATTATCAGCTAATCCAAATTTTAGTTGACATATTCAAAATAACTATTTAGAGATTTTGTAAAACCAACTTTAAAATATAAAAACGACCTTAGAAATAATCTCTAGAATAAACCCATGTGTTAATATAAGGACAAAATCCAATATCTAAAATTTATATAAAAAAAGGCTATTTTATATTTTTTAAAAATATAGCGATATTGAAAACCAAGAAAAAACTCTCTAATATTATTAAGCTGTCAGTTTATAGAAGGAAAAAAAACTGCGGAACTCGATGCGAAATATGAAGGGCATGATATTCCCATGCTGAAACGTTGAACCGTTCTAAGTCTTCGCCCTGAATCAAAAAACAAAGAACACGTGCAAAAATTAATTAATTATTGTTTTGCATGCTCCTATTGTTTTTTACTCGAAAGTAGAGTGTTAATTGGGTCGATCCACTCCGATCCGGTCCGAACTCGAAGATTTTGGATTTGGATTCTGTCTGTCCCGTTAAATTTCTTTATAATTATATATTTTTCAATTAAATTTTTATTTTTTTTTTAAATATTGTGTTTTTAGATTGGTCCGAATTCGAATCCCGAATTGAGCGTGACCTAAAAACTCGATTATTTCAGGCAAAAAAATTAATCTCAAAATCCGACAATTTTTCGGATGTATTCAGGTCTAACTTTGAAACTATTTAACGCCCCTATTCGAAAGGATAAGATTATAATTTTTTTTTTTGCTGAGCTTTGAATTCGTTTTTACGGATTCACATTAGATTTAGATTTGTTTTGTTTGTTTCTTTGTTTGTTATGTTATGTGTGAGACCCAGAAATTTATAGATTTTCAAACAATCAATGGACCCACCTATATATTTTATTTTTTTCCCAAAAGAATACAAAATTACAAATTATGTGATCCTTCAGCCGACAGGGATATTGGGTTTGGGATAAACAACCGGTTTCAAGTGACAACACGACAAAATTCCTGTCTATATCAAACATTTCATTCTTGATTTGTTTTTTCACAAAACATATATTTAATTAGATGAGAAAGGAAATAAAAAACCGCTTTTCTCTATGTATAAAATGAAGTATTTAACTTTATATATTAGACACTTGAAATAAAGAACAAAATAATATTTTGGAAACCCACCTAATTATTCCTGTAGAGTTTCAAGTAGACAATTTTGGTTTTTCTTTTTCATAGTCACTGTTACATCTCCTTTACTTTCAGAACAAAACGTCACCACCAACAAGTTCTGAAATTGAACTGACCGCAATATTCTAAAGTTAATAAACATGTGCCATAAATGGTGTGAAATTCTTATAATTATTCATATAAACTTATTTCTATGATAAAAAAAGGGTGTAAAATACCATTTTCTATATATATATATACACACACACAATTATATAGATGAAGTGGAAAGAATAATGGAAAACTCAATTTAGAGACGAAAGCAACTGAAATTAAGTTGGCCGACAAATGAATATAGTGTGCTTTGACTCATGGAACATTAAAAATAATATTCGTGTTTAGTTTTGTCTTTAACCTTGTTTTAAGCACGAATGACTCAGAAGCCCACTAGACCGTGTATCTCCTTCTTTGGAGTTCTTCGTCTTATCGACATGTAGAATTATTGCTGTTTAGACTTCTTTATTTTATTTTATTGCACGTGCCAAATTCCCACCACCGATCTTCTTCCTTTTTTTTCCTTTTTTTAAAACAAAATTTAATTTGACGTTGCGTACGCAACTTGTACAGTTCCAAAACATGAGTTTGTCTATTTAATTAATGGTCGAATCAAAATGTAGGTTCCGTTTGGATCTCCACATATACAATATAATGTATTCTTGAATTTTCCACACCCCTGTGGTGGGTAAATTGTAAATAATAAATTATCATATATATATATATAACATAATTTAAAAAAGTAGTATTCAAATTTGAATAATTCAACTGCTAAAATATAGTAAACAACTGTTACGTTTTAAGTTCGAATTTCACATCTATACAAAGTTATTCGCCCAAATTTTTTAGGTATTTGTGATTAATATGGATATTATTTTAAGATACTCAATAATAATAAAAAAATTAAAAGTAGCATTCTAGAAGAAATTTTCTTCTATTGAAAGTTACAATTCGACAGTCGACAGAGATCTATAATTAATTTTTTGGATGATCATTTTTTTTGGGGTTAAATTATCGCTTTTTTTATACTAAAAATAGAAATATTCAAATCCACATAGTACAGATCAGATCAGATCGGACAGAACACGGAGTCAGTTCGATTGAGTTGTTGGAAGTGCGAAATCTCGTGGGATGGGTTGATATGACACGTGGCATGTTCCTATTCGTGAAAAGGACTCTAGTAGATAGATATGCTTTCGGTTTCTCCAGCACTCTGTCATCGACAATAATTACTGTTAGTTCTCCGAAAACATTTGCCCTAAAAGCTCGTTGGATTTGTTTTCATCCAACTTCTGGATCGGGTTATTCTCTAACTTATATATATATACATATATATATATATATATTCATGAAAAAAATCTCTCTAACTCTTTAATTTGCATATATTAGCTAATGAATTTTATTCTTTAATTTTTTTTTTAAAAAAAGTAAATGGAAAGTGTAACCATGTGCGATGTCTGCACATGTGTTATGTTTCGTCCACATTTTTGCAGATGAAAAGATGCTCGTTGGGGTATGAGTGGATAATCGTTTTATGTTTGCCAATGAAACCCAATCCATCGTATCGTAGTAGAAAAATGTCAATTGGTATTAGGAAAAAGATTTTAAAGAAGGTTTTTACACTAATTAAGGAAAAAGAAATTAAATTGTAATATATTCAAAAACCAATTGTATTAAATTAGAAAAAAAATAATATATTGAAGTGAGGAAAAAAAAACATATATTGAATAATACTTATGGTCTGAATAAGACGAAACTTGCATATTTTTTTTTTAAAGTTTTGTGGAATTGAATACTTTTACTTAGGTTAGGAGGTAAAAAGAAAATTAATGAAGTATGTGTTGAAATAAGAAAATAAATATGTGATTGAAGGAAATATTGATTTTAAGATATGATTAGAAATAATAATGGACATAATATTATATCAAATATTGTATATCGATCTTATTTATTTCTATTTCCTTTTTATTTGTCTCATAGTTTTCCTATAAATATGTGAGTCATTTTCATTGTAATTCAACAACAAGAAGAAGAGATGTAGCAATAAAAGTAATTCCGTTCTTTTCTATTTGTCTTATTTTATTTCCGCATTTTATTTTTCTACAGTATGTTATAACAAAAAAAACCGCATTGTATTGTTTGGATTATTGGGTATTTAATTACGAATGTTAAAAGAAAAAAAAAGATATTGTATGCTAGAACCGTAATATTCGATATGTATATTCATGACCGGAATCTTGTAGTTACAGTGGTTGAATATTCTGAGTATTCTATATACATTGTCCGTGTGCTATAAGCCTTTTGTGGGCTCGGTGTTTTAGAATATATATATATATATATAAATTTCGACATTGTAATAGGAAAAAGATAAGGCAAAAAACATTGAATGGCGCAGGATCATCTCGTGCTGAAGTTGCTTACGGCGCCGAAGTGCACATATATATACACGTTTATAGAATAGATATATAAATTGTGGAACATACATAATTTCTCTATTGTATATTTCTAGAGGATCGAATAATAATTTCCTTCAATTTAAGGGGGTAATAGTGAATTAATTAACATTGACATTGTAAATATTTCAGTTTTAGTTCTTTTTAATTTTACCTCGGACAGCGATTACGTACCATTAACCAAATTAATAAAGAAAAAATATAAAATGAATGTTATATGTTGGTTTTTCTTATGTTGTTGCGTTGCGTTGAATAAAATTCGACGTTTTATTACGTAGTACGCATAGTACAAATCGTACATGCATATAGATTTTACAGTCCATAATTTTCTGTATTTTTATTCTATTCTATTGACTAATGATCGAACAAACCTCTAAGAAAATACGGAAAAGGTTATGAAAAAAAATGTGATCAATGAAAAGTTTCGTGATCTTTTCAAAAGGGTCTTTTTTTTTACGTTACTAAAGATTTTTTGTTGTTGAAATGTGAATATTTTGCGTTACTAAAGACACCGTTGTCAATATGGTTACGCGACCAAATGTGACCAAAAGGTAATGTTTGATCATTCTTCCGCGTTACCGAATAATGATGAAATAAAAAACATTACCAAATGTTACGGATTGGTAACGCAAAAATGTGACTAATGTAGTCACGCAATTTGCAAACCCTCGAGATTCCGTACGTTCATTGTTTCATCTCGTAGAGATATGTTGTCCAAGATTTCGCAAGGATAAGTCGACGATGGGGACAGTGGGAGCAGTCGGTGGTTAGGGTTGGACGCAGGCAAGGGGCTTGGTGTCTCCCCTCCCTTCGCGTTTCGGGTCGATTCGATTATATTCAATTCGATTATTTTGATTATAAAAAAAATTATAACCATTTGGTTTTTATATATATTTCGGTTTTTATTCCTTTCTATTGTTTCAAATGACGTGACCAACTAGTAATAAAAATTATTGTGACGACCGCAACAATTGTCTTCTATAACTATAACTCGATGTTTGTAACGCTTTTTTTTTCTGTGACCATTTGGAAGCGTTATCAAAGCATGAACATAATTTGCGTGATAAAAGTGTGATTTTTTTAATTGTGTTTTTTTCTATAGTGACCCATTTAATTAAAACTAAATGCAAATACCAAATCCTTCACGGCGACGGTTCTTTATTGGAGAAGTTTCTAAACTTTATGTTTAATTATTATGTGGAATTGTATACACAAAATTATTTACACATACAAAAAAAAAATATGACATTGGACCACCACATATGGTACCAAATCTAGAAACGGTGAAATTGTAACCATTTTATATGACATTTTCATGCAAATACAATCCATGTTTTTAAAAGGAGAAAAAAAAAAGAATTTTAAAAAATTGACGTCAACCTCCTTCTATTTAACCCATCATACAATCCCCCAAACCCCCACACATTTCTCTCTTCAATCCCCAAAAAAACCCACAAAACCAAAACCATGACGAACATGTTCCAAGATTGGCCGGAACCAGTGGTCCGAGTCCAGTCCTTATCCGAAAGCAACCTCAGAACCATACCCGACCGCTACATCAAGCCTCTCTCCCTGCGTCCAACCCTAACCACCCACTCTGCCCTCACTGTTCCCATCATCGACTTATCCTTCATATCCTCAGCCGACAAATCTCTACGAGACGAAACAATGGATAAGATCTCGAGGGCTTGCAGGGAATGGGGATTTTTCCAAGTGGTGAACCATGGGGTGAGCCCTCGTCTCATGGATCGAGCCAAAGAGGCGTGGAGAGAGTTCTTTCACCTTCCCATGGAGCTTAAGCAAGTCCACGCTAATTCTCCGAGGACTTACGAAGGCTATGGGAGCCGGTTGGGCGTCGAAAAAGATGCTCCTCTTGATTGGAACGACTACTACTTTCTTCATTATCGTCCTTCTTCTTTGAAGGACTACGCCAAATGGCCCTCCTTGCCACTTGGTTGCCGGTATGCATATCTTTTCCCCCCTAATCTCTCTTGTTTTATTTTATCAATTCATAATCATATACAAACTTTTTTATATACGTCGATCAACTTAAGTGTCGCCATTTTATATAGTTTATATCCGTGTGTGTGTGTATATATATATATCATTGCATAGGAGGATTTGCTTTTACAGAAAAGACCGGGCTTTTACGCAAGCCTACGTAGGCAATTAACTCTCTACTCTTTCAGTTTTGAGCTAAGCAATGTTTTAAATTTTTTTGGTCTGATATTTCGTTTGTTATATAAATAAATATTTTTCTCTAACTTTTGGGAAGAATTATCAGGACCACCACGATTCCCATTTCTTGAAATGTTATAACTTTTGCAAGTTGACTGGCCAGATATGGCAAAAACAAAACCGACGTGCCTACAAAACATAGGATATATACTTTTTTATCACATGCATGCATGTGTCTACATGCATATATATATATGTATATATATATATATATACATATATCTATCTATATATATATATATAGTAAATGAGTAATTAATCAACTCCGTCCACTAACCTCTTTATTTTGGATCAAATTTGCAGGAAAGTAATCGAGGATTATTGCAAAGAGCAGGTGAAATTGTGCGAGAAGCTGTTGAGGATATTATCGGTCAACCTTGGATTAAAAGAGGACCGGCTTCAGAACGCATTCGGTGGTACGGACGAAGCAGGAGCATGCATGAGGGCTAATTATTACCCAAAATGCCCTCAGCCGGAGCTCACCCTCGGCCTCTCGCCGCACTCTGATCCCGGCGGCTTGACCGTTCTCTTGCCTGACGACCATGTTGCCGGTCTCCAGGTCCGCCGATCCGACCAGTGGATCACCATCGAACCGGCTCCTCACGCTCTTATTGTCAACATCGGCGACCAAATTCAGGTACCATTTCTTCTTTGTATTTTCTATTCTATTACACAAGCACATATACAACGGCAATTTACATTAAGTTTTACAACATTATAACAAAACTATATATTATATAACAGTTTCAGAATCATTTACATGAACCGACAATATCAGTATAATCACTGTTAGAAAACTAAGAACACTTTCTTGGATCCCTTTGTCGATGCATATATTATCACATGGAGGGGTCTTGGTTCCTTTAGGATTCGATTTCTGCCTACATGCACTGAAACCTATTATAATCATTAGACACATGAATGTATTATATTTTATTCTTAATTGATATAATGCCTTTAATTATTATCAATCATATCAAATCTCCATATTTTGTTTCTATTTCAACAATGAACAAAAAGATGGATAATATTCTATGTATCACATTTTTTCCTCTGTTGAATTTAATTTATTATGGTATCAAATAGAAAGGAAAAATGTGTGTGTACATTTTGAAATGACCAAGTAGGCAATAATTCAAACATTACAACATACTGCTACTTTGGCTTAGAGAGAAATACCTTTTTTTTTTTGTTTTTTTTTCTGGAAATATTTATTTAAAATTCATCTGATATATATATACACACACACACAATCTAATACTTTACCGGGTAAAAAATATTTATTTCAATAACATTGTACTGAAAGTAAATAAAAAGAGTGGCAGTCTAACAATATCAAAAACTTTTTCGATTATAATATATAGACTTTTTAAGTAAAACTTCTATTTCTTTTGCATTTTCCTTGTTTTTTTTTTTTGAAATTACAGGATAACTAGAACTTGAAACAACAGTGGAAAAATTTTAGAATTTAAAATGTATGAAAATTATCTAAATTTGTCAAAAACACATCACGTTACTCAAGACCAAACTTTCCAAAACCGTATTACCCAACATCAAAAAATCTCCAAAAACTTAAAATGTACTTTTTTTTTTTTGGCGAGAGCTATTTAAGACAACGAGTAAATTAGACTCCGTAAAAAATAAATAGTAAATTAGCCTAGAGATTAGCAATACTACAGAAATATACTCTACTCACAATCTTTAAAACGTATGTTATTTTAATATTTGCCTCGTTGTCTTTTGACGAGGCAGTTGCTTACTTTTCAAATTACAAACCTAAAAGAAAAACATATTATATTTTTTAAAAGATACATGAAAACCACTTTTAGGACACCATGCCATGATATATCAGTCGACATCTCCTCTTTTAGTTTATTTTATTTTTCTCCTCCTTTGATTTCGAAGTGCCGTTTGAACATAAACAGTTGACTTGAACCCTTCAAAGCACGTAGTAGACGAAGACACGTCGCTTGAAGCTCATGCAATTCCTCATTTCCGCACGTGATTTTATTTACGTTAATTTAAAGAAAATTAATAAAAAGGACTCAAAGAGTTGGCTAATTGCGACAACTGTTAATGTTTCGAGATATCGTGTGTGTCGGCCACGCATGTTTCAAACGAACATGTTTTGTGTTGTATAGTCAACCAACGACATTTTCGTTAGTTAAATCTCCCTTTCGCTTATTAAAATGAAATCATTACAGCATTTTGCAATTTTATTTCCTCAAAATCGCATTTGATAGTATTCTACAACGATATTCGGTTTCTGATATACGTCATATATATTTCACAACGTCGTTATAATTAGGTGTTGAGCAATGCGATATATAAGAGCGTGGAGCATAGGGTGATGGTGAATTCGGCTAAGGAGAGGGTGTCTTTGGCTTTCTTCTACAACCCTAAGGGCGACGTCATGATCGAGCCGCTGGATGAGATCGTGACCGTTGATTCTCCGGCTATCTATTTCTCTCCCATGACTTACGACCAGTACCGTTTGTTCATCCGTACGCAGGGCCCACAACGCAAATCCCACCTCGACGTCCTTACATCTCCCCGATGATGATCATGATCATGAATCCCACATCGACGTCCTTACATCTCCTCGATGATCATCATATGTTAATAATAATAATAATAATAATAATAATAATAATAATAATAATAATAATGGTGGAAAGGTGACAATGTGTTTTAAGTTCGGATCTTGATGTGACAACGTGGTAGTGTGTTTTACCAAAAAAAAAAAACGTGGTGGTGTTCATGCATGCACATAAATAATCAAACGTTACGTACGTGGGATGGGCCTGACACACTTATCAGATGTTAAAGAGGCCCATTTATTAATTATTAAAGGCCCATTAGCTTACTTGTTGAAGGCCCATTTTAATTAGAAATAAGAATGATGGTTGTTCATTTACTATACACACTTTAAAAACTGTCATCAACATTAGTAAATTAAGAATCATTACCGCTTGAGAATTAATAGCTATTTTTTTTTTGTTACAATAAGTATTCGCGTAATTTTTCGTGTTATTGTATGATACCTCAATTTCATTTATTTCGACCAACATTACAATAAATATTATTTTTTTTTCTATTTGATAAAAAAGATTACTTAGCGATGTTCAAGGGAAATGTCTCAAAGAACTCGATTTTGGTGGTTAATTTGCAATTCTTTTCTCATAAAACCACCTAATTTTATTTGACAATTCTTCTTTAGTCTTTCATCATTTTGGTGGGCCGTTAATTCAAGTTGCAGATTACACACTCATCTATAATTATATCAAATTTACCGCCCCATTTTACCTATGATTTTTCATCTTCAGAGATTACAATTCGTGGAGATAAAGCGAAACAAATTATCTGGATTTTGAAGTGATTATATCATTAGTTGGAAAACAAGATAATCTGTTAGCTATGCTATATTTTAAATATAACATTTGAATTAAAAAAATCAGATCTGTCAGTTCATCATTTTGATATAAACTTGTCATATCTTACATAAAATTTTAAAGATAACGGTTTTCATCATGAAACAGCATTATGGTCCTTGGTGGGGTTTGATTATGTTTTTATTACATTAATTATAATTATTTAATGTCCTAGTGAAGATTGTACCTCTAGATTTTAGCACACAACCGTACGATTATAATCACCCACCACATTGGACATCATACCAAACCTAAACCCAAAAAAAAAAATATCAAGAAAAAAATATAATATACTGTTGTACATGTGGATTGTAATGAATTTGGTTGTATGCTTTAAGACTATTAATTATTGTAATTTTCTGTCAGCTTAAAAAAAATGATATATTGGACTGTAAAATTTGAATGAAATAAATATTGACATCTTAATGTTACTGTATACTTGCTGAATATCTTTGATTTAAAGCTAATTAATTATATTTTTAAGGGGTAATCGCAAAAAAAAACCATGTACTTTTTTCAAGTCAACGAAAAAATCCTGTACTTTTTTTGTTACCAAATAAACCCTGAACTTAATCCAATTAACTGATAAAACCCTGTATTTCTAAATTAGTAACCTAAAAACCCCTGCGCCGTGATGTTGATGACTGTATAAACAGATTCGGTAGATTTGACGGCAGCAGATTCATTACTGTCGTCTCCATCGTGCGTGGTCCGACCTCTCTTTTTTTATAAACAAACAAAAAAAAAATCAAAGGAAAATAGACGTCAAAGCAGAACAAAAATTCAAGTGAATAGTTGTCTTCAGGGAACATGGTTATATCATATATGTCTTCAAAGCTTGAGTCGGAGGCTTGTTTCTGGAAGAATCGGACGGGCCTCACTGAGAGAGCACAGACGAGAGGATTTGCTGAATCTGTTGCGGATTCGGTAGATTTGACGGCAGCAGAACCATCGACGGCGACCGTGACGGCGGATTCCAGTCGAAGGTGAAGAAGAAGATGGAGACGACAGTAATGAATCTGCTGCACACAAAATTTGAAAATTATATATTTAATTTAAAATTAAATAAATTATAATGACATGGCAAAATAATCTTACGTGGACATATTTTAGTAATTACGTCTTTGACACATCAGCTTTTCCGTTTATACAGTCATCAACATCACGGTGCAGGAGTTTTTAGGTTACTAATTTAGAAATACAGGGTTTTATCGGTTAATTGGAGTAAGTTCGGGGTTTATTTGGTAACAAAAAAAGTATATGGTTTTTTCGTTTACCTGGGAAAAGTACAAGGTTTTTTTTGGCGATTACCCCTATTTTTAACGCAATCAATCGTGATTTTGCCTAAAGGATGACGAAGCCTCTTCTGTTTATTTATGTAGTGGTACATTACGATTGATAGGCGGTCCCCGAATCTAATTACAGAGCAACAGAGCATTATAATTTTTTTTAATACAACTATTTTTTTTATCGTTTTTATTTATTAAATTTAATGTGTCTAATTCTATTTGGACGTGTTGGGCCTTTCCTTTGGTCCGACCCATTGCTTTATGGTGGAGAAGTAGAATCCTCGGGTAGAAGGAGAGGGTTTCCGAAACGATATGTTTTGGGGGTTAAGGGTTGACAACCCTAATGCTCTCATTTGTGTTATGTTACAACGCACGGTGTTCGAGGAGGAACGTTCGAGAGAGAAAGAGAGCGAGAGATGATCCGAAGGGCTGAGGCACTTCCGGCGAAGCGGAGGAGCGGCGGCGGTCGACAACACGGGATGGTAAGGTCAACGACCTTAGGTGAATTCTGTAACTCGGTGTGTGTTGCGTCTCCTTTCTTGGTGAATCTTAGTAAGCCTCCAATCGTGATGTGGAGTGCCACCGACTATTCTTCTCGATTGTTTCCTGTCTTCTAGTGGATTCGTCGGCCCGAGGTAACTCGGTAACCGAACTCGTTAAAACCGTTGTGTCTTCTTCTTCTTGCACGTACGAGTGTTGGAGAGGACCGCGAGGGCCCGATACCGCTTCACAAAGTGGTATCAGAGTTTCAGTTTCTATCCAGGGAGAATCACCGGTCATGCGAGGTAAGTTAGGGTTTCCGGTTTTATTTCGAGTCGAGACTGTGTGAGCGATTTAACCCTCTGCTGAGTGTGTGAGGCGCAAATGGAGCTAGATCGATGCTCGAAAAGAGAAGATCTGAAGCCTCCGGGAGTTGACGCGGTCAAGTCTCGTTTCGAAACAGGTAAACCAGGTGAGTCCCTTGACTCGGTTTTTCATTATTTTCCGCAGTTTCTCTGGTTTGAGTCCGAGTCTCAAATGAAACTCGGTGGAACTCGGTGGAGAAAATGCGATTCCGGCAAAACTGTGTCCCGACTCGTCCGAGTTAGGGTTGAGTGGAGGAATCGGGTGTTGGTTGTAATGCTTTACGATGATCCGTGATATGACTTTTTGACTATGTATTGATTCATTAGTTTATGAATGCATTACTTTTCCCGTGATATGATTGACATGTTTGTTATATTTCGGTAGATATCCATGAATCATTGCAGATGATTCTAAACTCCCTGGTCAGTTGTCATTGTGAGAACAATGATGAATTAAGACCAGCATGATGTATGATTGATGATGATGATCATATGCATTGGATGCAAATCACAATCATGGGTACTCGTTTGGAACGAGTGACTGGATGACCCGCATGAGATTGTCATATGGACATGAGTCATGACTTGAATCTCATACAGCGGTTCGTTCTTGGATCCTCAGACCTGAGATGTCTAGAGTATCTGATATGAGGAGTGGCGTGTCTTGACTGCGTCAAACGTCGTCTTTAACCGGATGATTATAACGGCATTGATCAAATATGTTCAAGAATCTATACGGGACTTGTCACCTCCTTAACATGAGAGATGTCGCTGGGCCCCTCGTGGAAATCGGACTGTGAAAAATGCGTGGCCACGCTATAGATGAAGTTACATCTATTTTATCAGTCGATTTGCCTGGATGAGTAAGCGGTTGAACTTGAAGGGTGGCTCATACCATACCCTTGTTCAACATACGACATCGTGAGACAAATGATCAGAACTTGAACTATTGCTGGACTGTGAAAAATGCGTGGTCACGCTATAGATCACCTCTAACTCTAATCTAGGTTAGTCTAAATTAGGTCTGATGGTGTCTGGTTTAGGGCATAGTGGACTGGTTTAGGGTATATTAGGGTCTGTAGTGATCAGTTTACCCTATTAGGTCAGATAAGTACTCAATTTGGCTTGGTTTAGTGAAAATTTACTAGGGATAAGCCTGATTAGATCTCGGTTTAGTTAATGAGAGTCATAGATTCCTGTTTTCTGTTCAGTATAGATCTGAATAGGTTGGATTTGACTTCGTTTAGCTGGGTAAGAGATCAGGTTAGACTTAAATAGGCTGGTATAGGTTTGAAATTGACTGGTTTAGGTCGGTATAGATCTGTAAGGGTTGTTTGGGTCTTGGTTAGGTCTGGTTTAGCCAAATTTGGGTTGGTCTAGCTTAGTCTAGGTCTGATCAGTAGGTAATTATATCAAAATAGGTTTGGTTAGGTCTGATTAGAGGTTTATGTGTCCATATTGACATTATCTAGGTCTGATCAGGTTAGTAACTTGGTTGTAGACATAGGTGTTATCTAGTTTAGGGCTAGATAGGACTCTAAAGTACATGTTTTGAGTCACAGAGTCCGGTATTTTGATCAGTTAGGTCTGATTAGTTGGGATTTTGGCTAAAACGGGTTGGTTTAGGAGTTGATTAAGTCTAGAATCACTAGGTATAGGTCTGTAGGGGTCGGTTTAGATCAGAGCATGTCTGTAGGCGATGGTTCTAGGCATTGATAGGGTCTGATCAGAGGAGAACTAGGTCAATTAGGCTTAGTTTAGATCTGATTAGGGTGCTAAAAGTCTAATCAGGGGTTGATTAGTCAATTAGGGTTGGCTTAGGTTTGTTGATTAGGACTTTTAGGTGATTGTCTAGGACTTAATGTAACTAATCAGGGGTTGGTTAGGTCAATTAGGATTGGCTTAGATTTTCTGGCCTAATTTGGGCTTTTGGTTGTCTAACTAGGACTGTGAGGGGACTAGATAGCACTTGAGTTAGGTCTGATTAGGACTTTGTGAGGGACCAGGTAGACTCGGGATCGTAGGACTGGTTAGGACTTTATTAGAGGCCATGTAGACTCAGTGTTATAGGTCTAATTAGACGTAATCAGGTCAGGTTAGCCTTAAGTTAGGTATGGTTAGACGTAATCAGGTCTTAAGGTAGGTTGTGTTTCGAGTCTAATAGGCCGGTTAGGTAAACTTATGCATAGGGAAAGTCCAATCAGGTTTGTGCGAGAGTCTAAGAGGTCGGTTAGGTAGAAATATACCTTGTGTTAAGTCCAATCAGGTCTGATCTAAAGTCTATTAGATCCGTTTAGATAAGATGTACCTAGGATGAAGTCCGGTTAGGCTTGGTTTAGAGTCCGTTAGATCGGTTTAGGTTGAGTACCTAGGTTAAGTCCACCCAGGTCGTGTTCTCTTAGTCTAGTAGGTCTGAGTAGGTAGAGACTTACCTAGCTTTAGGACCGATAGACTAGGGTTAGAACGTGTCAAGTACATCTAGGTAGAAATATACCTAGGGTTAAGACCTCTAGGGTTCAGTCTCATCCCTCGTGTCATGTTACATCACTTCTAAGGTCGGTTAAGTCTCTTCCGGGTAGAGTCAGTTTTAGACTCGGGTTTTATCGTCTTAGGATGATGGAGTTAGATTTTCTAACTCGGTATACCCCGAAAGGGGGTATGGTGGAAGGACTAGGGGTCTCGGGCAAACCCGAGAAATCGGGTTGCAGGAGAAGGCCAAGGACCAGGTGGAGTGATTGGTTCTGCGGGTAGGTAGGGACATTACAAGAAAGTGTTGTAGGTTTCGGATGACGAGGTAGAGAGAGTCCGAGGTAGAAGGATAGATTGACCTCGGAGGAGTAAACCAAAGTCGCTTCGGTTCTCGGTGGTTGGTCAGGAGATGAGGTCTCCACATTTAGGTGGAGCTTCCTCGGTAGGATGCTCAGGAGATGGTGTGAGCTAGGAGGTGTCGGGTCACCGGGTAGAGTCGGTGTAGGTTAGCGCTAGGACACTCCCTCTCGAGGTGGAGCACGTGCACTCACGTGTCTCTTATTCTCGGTGGAGCATTCGTAGATGACTAGGAGCGTCTTTACGGGATAAAACCGTGGAACAATTCTAGTTGGCAGGTTAGGGTCCGAGGGTAGAAATTGCATACTCATATGTAGTGTAAACTCTACGGGGACCCTGGGCTAGGTATCTAGCGGGTTCGGTAGTATGACTCAGGTTAGTCTCGGAGGAAGTCGGGATAGACTTAGGAGACAGGTAGATGTCGGGTATAATCCCCAGGTTGCTATCAGGTGAAGTCTCGGACTTTAAAAGGGAGGGTTAGTTAGACGGTCTAGGGAGTCATACAACCGAGGGTAGCGTTTGTCGGTCGGGCGACGTGTGTTCGGACTTCGGTTTGAGTCTTATCGGTGTGAACGTTCTAACACGTTTACCGAGTGTTTCAGGTTTGGATAAACAGGATCGATGGCGGGATAAGGCAACGAGGCCTTGAGAAGTCATCGACATGAGCTTCATCAGATTCAGAGCGACATGTGACTAACTCCGGTGCATCAGGTAAGTGAGATAAGTCAGGTAAGTTGCTTTTTAAATTCCGACGAAAGTCGAGGGATCGATGAAAGTCGATCCGTGCTGGAAACGACGAACTCCACTAGTGTTTATTATTTTGTCCTTCCTCTGGTTCCGCTCCCTCCACCAAGGTGGAGATTGTTGGGTCTTTCTTTTGGTCCGACCCATTGCTTTATGGTGGAGAAGTGGAACCCTCGGGTAGAAGGAGAGGGTTTCCAAAACGATGTGTTTTGGGGGTTAAGGGTTGACAACCCTAATGCTCTCATTTTGTTATGTTACGACGCACGATGCCCGAGGAGGAACGTTCGAGAGAGAAAGAGAGCGAGAGACGATCCGAAGGGCTGAGACACTTCCGGCAAAGCGGAGGAGCGGCGACGGTCGGCAACACGGGATGGTAAGGTCAACGACCTTAGGTGAGTTCTGTAACTCGGTGTGTTGTGTCTCCTTTCTTGGTGAATCTCGGTGAGCCTCCAATCGTGATGTGGAGTGCCACCGGCTGTTCATCTTGACTGTTTCCTGTCTTCTAGTGGATTCGCCGGCACCGTCCGGCCAAGATGTATACCCGAGGTAACTCGGTAACCGAACTCGCTAAAACTACTGTCTTTTTCTTCTTGCACGTATGAGTGTCGGAGAGAACCGCGAGGACCCGATACCGCTTCACAAGGACGTTTTAATTAAATTTGACATGAATTCAAATATGAAAATTGGATTGATCCAAAATACGAAATAATAGTCGAAATATAATATATATATATATAGAAACACAAAATCGAAATTTTCGTTGTTATTGGTGAGCCTGAATCAATAAAAGCGTGATAAAGAGAAAAAGGTCGACAACTCGACAACTAAAGTGTGGAATCCAAGTAAAAGAAGAAAAAAAAAATATGAGGAATAAAGGTGAAGCAAGACAGAGAAAGATACGGGGGAAAAGAACTATATAAGTTGAAACGGTCGATTGTTACTAAGGGCAGATATTCAATTTATTTCGATAATTCATCATATAACAATTTTCGTAATATATTATTATCAAGACACAGAACTGAGTTTTCCGAATTTTCTGCAATCATTTGAACAACCCGCTCCACTATACTTTATTTATTAAAAAGTCTATATTGAAAAGTCGCTGTGAAGACCATTTATTAAATTCCTAAATTTGTTATTCGACTTTGGATTTGATTTGTATTGTAAATTCGCTGACTAATGTGTGTATATATAGAAATACAGCTAGTTATGTTGCATTATCCTACACGTGGTACGACCAAGTCGAGCCACGTGTCCATGAAATGAGAAAAGTTGAAACTCGTGAACTTGACCGAACACCAAAAAAACCTTTGAGAAGTTTTCCAAATTCTGGTCGGACAAGACATCGCACCATGTCCGGTTTATCGTCACACAGTATCAACCGAAGAAGAAGAAGAAGAACAAGAGAAGAAGAAGATCCAGTAGAGAGAGAAACTAGAGAGAGAGAGAGAGGGAGGGACAGGCGACACCTAACTAGATAAACCAACAGAGCATGCAAAAGCTGAAGCGATCATCATGGGTTTTTATTGCTCGATTCACATGATTTCGCCTCTCTCTTCTCTCTTCTCCCTGTCTATCGTGGTTTGACCTCTAATCACAGCCATGGCGGAGACTCCTGAGGATGTGGAACTGGTGTTGGAGTTTCTGAGGAAGAACGGCTTCACAGAGACGGAATCTGCTCTGAGAGAGGATATCAGCGATAGAAACCAACTGGGCACTTTCGATTTCGAGAAGTTTCTGTTCCCGTTCCCGCCGCCGGTGAAGATTCCGGCCAACATCCGGCTGCCGGATTCCACTGGAGATTCTGGGTGTGATGGGTCGAGGTCTGTCGGTGGTGGGTCTTCTTCAGACGACGAGTTCATCAGCTTGGATTCCTCTACCAGTGGCTTCTCTTCTTCCGGTACATTGTTCTTCTTCTGAATTCACGAAATCTCCGAAACACAAAATCTTGATCTCAAGTTAAAGATGATTCTGATTTGGGATTGACTTAGATTCATAGTCTTAATGCGTTTTCGATTCCGAATCATACGGCATAGCCATGATTCTGTTCTTTGACTTGACGTTATTTATAATCTGCATATGCTGCAGAGTTTGTAAATCCTTATGGAGAAGGTTCATCATCACCGGTTGGTTCCGATGCTTCGTCCGATAGGCTTTCTCAGTTCGACACAGCTCGAACTTATACCGGGTGGAACGAGTTCTATTGGCAGAACGACAATGGCGACAAGGAAGAAGACGAGTTCATGTCTCCTGCATTCAGAGAATCCGATTTCTTCATCTGTCCTGAAGAGGACAAGTTCATAATGTCTCCGGAAACCGATAACCAATACGAGAACTCTCGAGGAGTGTATGATAAATCCGAAGGGTCTCAGGCTGAAACTAGTTCGGATTATCTAGACAAGCCCTGTCTTCTTAACATGTTGTCCAAGAGCGAGACTTGTAATGAAGAGGATGCCGAGAATGGTTACGATCTTTCTGATAAGTGTACCGATCGAGAAAGAGGGTACCTCGACGATGATGATGTGGATCCGTTTTTGTATTGTTACGACGGTCCATTAGGAAAAGACGATACCAGGACACGTGATCAGGAAAAGGGAATTCTTTCCGATGAAAATGTAGATGATATTAAGGCCGGGACAGAGGAAGAGGCAGACGTTGCCGATGAGATTCTCTTACCCGGTATATACGAAGACGAATACGAAGTATTCGATCTCCGAATCATTCACCGGAAAAACAGGCATGTCCGAGATATCTTAGTCCATTTTCGATTACCGCTATGTTATGCTTTGGTTCATATTTATGGCCCAAACATATGATTCTCTCAAATCGCGTTTCGTGACGAATCATATCATTTGCAGGACGGGATTCGAAGAGAATAAGGATCTGCCCATCGTGCTAAACTCGGTCATCGGAGGCAGATACCACGTTACGGAATATATTGGTTCTGCTTCGTTTAGTAAGGTTGTCCAGGCTCATGATCTCTGCAACAAGATCGACATCTGCTTAAAGATAATCAAGAACGACAAAGATTTCTTCGATCAGAGTCTAGATGAGATTAAGCTCTTAAAGTATGTCAATAAACACGACCCGTCCGACGAACACCACATTCTACGTCTCTACGACTATTTCTACCATCAGGTCATTGTTCTTCTCGAGAATCTCGCGGAGAAATATTCATCGGCCTAATCATCGGTCTCCGGTATCTTGCGTTTTCTTCTCTTTTTTTGCAGGAACATCTGTTTATTGTATGTGAACTCCTCCGAGCAAATTTATATGAATTCCAGAAATTCAACCAAGAATCTGGAGGGAAACCATACTTCAACATGCAAAGACTGCAGGTTCGGGCCATTCTTTACATTCAGTATAAGCATTCAAGATTCGGTGCGAAGCTCGGGTTCATGTTAAATGAATTGGTTTATATCGATGTATTCATTCCTCAGATTATAACCCGTCAATGTTTGGAAGCATTGGTGTACCTTCACGGACTGGGAGTCATGCATTGCGATCTGAAACCCGAAAATATACTGATAAAGAGTTACAAAAGATGCGAGATAAAGATCATAGATCTCGGTAGCAGTTGCTTCCGGACCGACAACTTGTGTCTATACGTACAATCGCGTTCCTATAGAGCTCCCGAAGTGATTCTCGGTCTTTCGTACGATGAAAAGATCGATCTCTGGTCTTTGGGTTGTATCATAGCTGAGCTTTGCTCGGGTGAGGTAACGTCCGTTCATACAGCGTTCTTTTTGTTATACCGGGAAAAATCGTTTACATGTGTCGGGATAATAATGTCTTGGCTTCGTCCGGACCGGATTCATCAGGTTTTGTTTCCGAATGAAGCGGTAGCGATGATACTGGCTCGGATGGCCGGAATTCTCGGCCCTATAGACCTGGAGATGCTGGAGAAAGGGCGGGAGACGTATAAATACTTCACGAACGAGTATGATCTTTATCACGCCAACGAGGTAACACGTCCTTGTTTCAGAGACAGGATCTTTGGGAAGCTCCTGAGAATTGGGAAGTGAAGTAGAGGTAGATAGAGAATCTGAGTAACTGTTTTGTTGGTGATTGAAATGTTTTTTCAGGAGGGCGATGACGTGGAATACATTATTACAGAGGAATCTACGTTGGAGGAACATTTAAAAGTATCTGACACATTGTTCGTGGATTTTGTACGGAATCTGCTCGAGATGAATCCTCTCAAACGCCCTTCTGCTACCGAGGCTCTTCATCATCCATGGCTCTCTTTCTCTTATTAATCTCGCTTTTTTTTTTCTCCTTTTACAATGAATTATAAATTGTATATTGCATACATTTTTATGTGCAAAATAAGATGAATTGAATATATATATATATATACACACATATATATATATATATATATACACACATATATATATATATATATATATATATATATATATTAAGTGGTGACCACTTTGAAAAAGACTATCTCAGGAGATTACAAATCAATCTCTTTCATGGACGACTTATAGACAATGAGATTCCCAATTCAATATCAATCAAATAAAATAAAAATAAAAAAAAAACGCAAAAGGCAATTTTACAAGTTGTCCAAAAACTACACGACACAGTCAACTTGAATTTGAAGCAATAATGTTTTTCAACCAAAAAAAATAAAAAAATAAAAATAAAAAGAAAGTGAAATGTAGGCTTCCTATTGTTGTGTTTCTTGGGTGGTGGTTTTAGTTTATTTATTATATGGTCGGAAGAACAATAAAAGATTGGGATATTAATTTACAAGAATATGTGCATGTGCATGGAGGTCCATCCAACGCAAGAGAGGTATGGATCTAGGCTCTAGCGCACCATGATCACATCAATAAATAACGAGGATTATTAGAATCGCACACGTGGGGTGGAATTATGAGAATCCACAAATGGTGACACGAACATCGAATTGATTTATTTGTTTTGTTTTTATGTTGTTTTTAATGGTTTTGTTTAAATCCATCATCAATCTGCTGTAAAAAAATCGAATATTTACACATAATAATCAAAATATTTAAAAATTAAAGGGAAAATCCTATATAAAAATGTAAACTTTTACAAAATCTCTGATAAATATTTAAATTCTAAAACTTTCGTATAAACATTTGAATTTTTCTAAAATCTTATATAAATATCCAGATCTCTAAAAAATTTCTCAAATAAAACCAAAATCCGTTAATAACGTGATCATTGTTGTTTGAAAAATTCTTAAATTTTGTATTTATTTATTTTTTAAAAAAATTTAGGTATTTATATAAGATTTTGAAAAAGTTTAGTTATTTATATAAAAATTTTATAGTTTAGATATTTATAAAAATTTGGGTATTTTATATACCATTTTTCTAAAATCAAACCACAAATGCTATTTATTTTGTTTTGTTTATAATCAAATGGACGAAAAAAATCAATTCCTTTTTTTATTATTTTTATTTTGTGCATTAGTCTTTTGCGTCTCCGTGGGGGCGGAGGCTTTTGAATTGGGTCAATTTTGACGATGATTAATTGAAATAAGAAAAACAAACAAACAAACACCATTTGACATTTATTGCTCACATTTTTTTTTTATTATGGGGGAAAATAGAGAAGGAAGAGATGTACACTATCGAAAAATATGCATTAAATCTTGATTTGAGTCTTGCAATAAAAAATATTAGGGCTTAGTTAGATGTAGGGTTTCAGTATTACCTGTTTTCTTTTTTTTGAAAGTATGCAAAATGTTTTAATAATATTTTGTAGATATTATAATGTTTGAAATAAATATTATATAATTTCGAAAAATATATCATATAAAAACTTAGTTTTAAGCATAAGAAATTAAAAATGAGAGAGAATTCAAGAAGAGGGGTAGTAGGGTCAGAGTATGATGGACCGACGCGCCTTCACCTATTAAAATCTGTCTTTTCTAATTGGCTCATTCCTCTCCCACCCTCTCAGTCTCCCACACATCGATTTCAAAAAATATATATTTTTTTCTAATATTATATTAATTTTGCACAAAATCACACTAATAATAAATCGATCATATACACGTATTCTAATTATCGTTTCAAAATGTAATATTCTACATGATATTAAATATTATTTTTATTTCTGTGAAACTGCGAAAATATGTTGAAAGATTATGGAAAACACATGATATTTAAATCATCCTTATTGATTAATTATACATCGGAAATAGGCAATTTTGTTTTGTTTATTCCATATTTGTTTAATTTTAGTTATATAAGAGAAAAGTAGCGTGTGTTCCCCAAACTCTCGGTAGGCGCGTGGATCAAACTGGTCTCTTAAAAGGACATCATCGAACCATCGCCATGGGCCATGGCCGCACCATCTGTTTATTAAAATCTCCATAAGAGAGAGACGAAGAAACCAAGGAACTTTGAACTTATTCCTTTCTTCCTGGTCCTTACCACACGCACACACTGCTCACGTTAGCTTATCCTGCGCTAGGAATCGCGTCCGTCTTCTTGATCATCTCCTCCTCCTCCTCCTCCGGGGCTTTAATCGATTCGAGTCATGGCCGAGTTAACTCAGGCCGAGGTGGTGTACTCGCCTCGGTCGCTTGAAGTGTGGAAGGCTCTCGTGAATTGGCTCGCTTTTTTCTACCAGATCTTCCTTCAGTTTCTCCGTGCCGTCGGTCACCTTCCTCTTCTCTCGTCGTCGTCGTCTTCTCCCTCTGGTAAGGCCGCCGCCGATGGTTTCGAACTCTTGCCGGTCGTCGAGGTGCCTGACAAGGCGGCTGAATCTCCGGCCTCCGTTGAAATCCCCTCCAGGAGAACCTGCGGTGATCGCGATGGCCATGGCGATGGCGGCCGCTTCGCGAAACTCACGGTATGTGCATAGATTTTACCCTATTCTGGATTGTTTGAAGTTTTCTGGAGTTGGATTGGTATTTGATACATGATTGGAGAAATCGTGTAGTACGTTCGTACCCGAGAATTTTCAATCATGGGGGAATTCTAAGCATGTATTAGGGATTGACGAGGCGTAAAATCTTGAAATACGTGTTTCCATAGATAGATCTTGTTACCTTATCGAAATTTAGATTCAAAAACATTTGTGGGCTTTTACGTGCTCTCGCTCATACCTATTTGGATATTGTTAGATTAAGCTTGTGATTGTGGTAAGACGTCATGTCTGTTGAGGCAGTAAACAGATTTACGTAAACAAGGCATGGAAGGAAGTAGGTTGGCATAAAATCCGACTACCCTAGCATACAATTCTGAATTAGTTATTAAGTTTTTTGTTCATTCCTCATGTGTAGAGACTCTGAAACTGAATTATGAGTACTAGAAGTGTGGAAATTACGTAAAACTCGGCGAATATGCAATAGAAGAAAATATTGGTACGTAGTGTATATATGGCATAGAGTTTATTGCTCTGGCATGGAATAAGACCTCAATTCGAGCTTTATCCAGTTCCCTGGCATGGAATAAGGCTATAATTTGGTTCACTCATGAAAATGTGGAAAAAACTCTCTTACAACTTGAAGAGTACTGCATCCGTCCCATATATGCATCTGCATCCGTATCTAGAACGATTTATTGGTTTCTAATGATGCTGTCATACCATCTTTCACGGTGAAAGAGTACTGTAATGTGGATTAAGAACCACCTTTCGGTTTTCAGTTAGGTTAACCTTGCGCCATGTTAATATGTTATGCTAATTCCCACTAACCTGACTGAATTTTAGCATAATTATGTGGACTATGGTCTTCATGGTGGAAGCCGGTTAGAATTTCCGAACTAAGCTTGCTGAGCATCTATTGCTAGTGTCGTGAGTAGTCTGAGATATGAAGATGAATTGCAGGTTGTTCTTGATTTGGATGAGACCCTAGTGTGTGCTTATGAGACATCTAGTTTGCCTGTTTCTCTACGGAATCAAGCAATTGAAGCTGGATTGAAGTGGTTCGAGCTGGAGTGCGTATCCTCAGAAAAGGTTTCTTTCATGTACTTCTTGAGTTCAGTTCACTTTTGTTGTGGTGACATATCATGATCCTAGGCATTCTTCTCTCTGAAGGAATGTGAAGGGAAACCCAAGATCAATTATGTCACGGTGTTTGAGCGTCCAGGTTTACACGAATTCTTAGAGCAACTCAGCCGGTTTGCAAATCTTGTTCTGTTTACTGCTGGTCTTGAAGGTCTCTTGTGTCATTTCTCTCAGTGTTACTCCCTGCACTTTGTTGTTTCATGCTCGAGTATAATCCTCAACAGAAACTGTGTTTAAGCCTGCAGGATATGCCAGACCGCTTGTGGATAGGATAGACACTGGGAATTTATTCAGCCTTCGGCTTTATCGACCTTCAACAGTCAGCACGTAAATTATCCTAAATAACTTACCCTTTTCTCTTCACTTCAGTCCAATCTGGTTCTTGTTTAACGTTTGGAAACTGATACACAGTGTGTGATCCGATCAGGCAATACCGGGATCATGTGAAGGATCTGACATGTACATCGGATAACATGTTCCGGACTGTTATTGTGGACAACAATCCGTTCAGCTTCCTATTACAACCACTCAATGGAATTCCGTGTATTCCATTCTCTGCAGGGCAGCCAAATGATACTCAGGTTTGTTCAAATACCCATTACCTCATACACAAATTTCTGAATACTCAACATCTGTTTATCTGTTTATGCCCTTTTTCGCAAACCGTGTTTTAGCTTCTGGACGTCATTCTGCCGCTTCTAACGCATCTTTCGGAGCAAGAAGACGTTAGACCCATACTTCACGATAGGTTCCACATGGCCGAATGGTTTGAGAAGCAAGGCATACCGTCGACATGCTGGACATCATAGATTCCTTCAAACTCCGAAAAAGGGTAAAACTTAAATGATTTCGATGTGTAATTTCCGGACAGAATGAAGTCAGTCTATCATATCATTCACGTAAGGAAAAGCTTCTTTGTTGCTACAGAGAGGCTCATGGAGTCTGTATAGTATTTGCAGCGAATGGCAGAGAAGGGGAAGAAGAAGAAGAAGGCTTTTTTCTGGTGGCGGGAGTTTGGTCCATGAGCGGAAGGCGCAAAAGAAAATTGGCGATTGGTATTATGTTCATAATGTATGGTAAGATTCATCTCAGTGCAGGACGAAAATCTCAATTGATTTTCGGTTCGGTTTAGATGTGGAACCGGTTTAGAAGCAAATAAATTGAAATGAAGCTGAAATCGGTTGGGTACACACAAAAAAAAAGGACCATGGAAGAGAGTATATTTCAAATCAATAAATTAGAATTATTAAAAAAACACTGAACTGAACCAATCAATTCTCTTAATTCACTTAATGGCAAGCAATGACCAGCATATTTTTATACCTCTGCAATTAAAAGAGATATTTTCTTATTACACTCTGAATATATTATGAGATTCCCTATCATGGTCCTTTATATACGCACGTGATCGTTTTAAAATTGACAGTCGAATGAATTGTATGTTGTTCACGCGTATTTGAGATCTGTAATATTTAATTATTTATAACTTAATACGATGAAACATGTATATTTTTTTTTGCTACTCATCTTTTTTTTTTTGGTATAATTTTTGCTACTCATCTTTGTCTGTCACTTCACGTTTTGTTGCTAAAACCTGTATTTTTAAGCTGTATTTAGGGGAATTATTTTCGTTTTTTGGTAGTTGATATGTATATATATATATATATATATATATATATATGTTATATTGTTGTTACTACGAAGGCCAATATAATAGTATAATTAAACAACAATTATTATGGTTGGACAGAATTACGCATTAGATGTTTATTTTTACATCGACTATCGGTTAGATAAAACAACACGAAAGAAAATAACATATAATTTAAATGAATATTTTGTAAATTATGAAAGCTGAGCTGTTAAATAAAAATGTCAAAATGAATAATAACAAAAGAAGCCATCCAAGGGATTTGGCACAAAAATAAATTGTTGTCCATACACGGCTTATGCAAAAAAGATACAGTATACCCTCAGATGTATACACCATGCTTACAATTACATTAAATTGAAAATCTAGTATTCATATACACATCTATAGATACACACGCAATATTAAATTGAGTCTCTTGCGTTTCATGAATTGACGAACTTTATACGATGACGAATACCATGTTTTTAGGCAAACATATATCATTGTATAAAATTATAGACATTATTTTGAATATTTGTTAAATTATTATTACTAGGCATGAAGCAGTAATCATGCATGTGCATGAATTTAGAGATATTATGTATGGTGCCATCGTGGTCACATGACATGCATGGTCGTCTGTATGTACATACGCATTGTCCACCAAATGTGTATATATAAATATATACATATACGTATATACATATATGTATACTAATATGTGTTAAAAAACATGACAAAGAAGAGATGACTAGATTGGGGGCACGTGCCTATAACTGATATTGTCCAAAGTAGGAATTAACATTAGGGGCAATGGCAAAAAAAACATGAATTTTGTTTATTTGGTAAATAAATATATAAACTTTGGTAATAAAATACACCAACTTTTATATTTTTAGCGTAAATCTCCACAAATAATAATAACGTAAAAAAATAACGAAACTATCAATACGTCATTGTATATAAATATCATATAATTTGTTTAATAAAACCATATCATTAATTATATTTAATAAATTTATTATTAACCATTTTTCGAGTACCCGTGACACCGGGTATCCGCAAACCCGCGGGTAACGGGTTTAAATGTCCAACCCTACTTGGAATGGAAATTGTAATCTTCTCCCTGTTTGAGAAATAAAACCTCGATCTTTGGAATGTGAGATATAAACAAAATCAGTTGGAATGTGAGGAGTAAATTGTAAGTAGATCGCAGCTCTACTTGCCTATTCTCAAATGTTTACCAGTCGCAGCTCTCCCATTTCGCCAGCACCATCTTCGCACATGCTCGCTCCTCCCCTGTAATCAGTAATAGCAAAATTCACATACCATGATATAGAGACATACATAACCAAAGAAAGTAACCAAGAAAACTGCAACAATGTAAGTAATCATTTTTAGTCTCTCTCATCACTCGATTAAAGCATTTCAACCCCTCAACGATGTCCAAGTGTATAAACTTTCTAAACGTAAATGCATATCAAGGAAAATAAAAGAACTTTGGACAAGCTTCATCAGTCACAGTTACTGTTGAAGCATATTCGGTATCTAAAAGGTTCAAATCGATAAATGGAAGTTTGGAACAAATAGAGAGAGAAACTAAAGAAAGGACCAGCTTATGGAAAGGGATATTGAGCGTAACAGGAAAAAAAAAAGACAAAATACATATTCGGAACATATTGTGAAGAATCATGTAGAGATGTGTATATATATAGAAGAACATGCATTAGAAGAGGTTGTCTAGCAGATTGCTATTGCACAGCGTGAGATTTGTGAGGGTAAATTGTAATTATCTGAGAAAACAAGAGGGAGCCTTTCAATAACAAGCGAACTGCTTACTAGACCTAGGCGTGGTCTAGGGTGACATGTAGTGTACACTGTATATACAGTGTGTCTGGAACTAATAGACTTTCTTATGATACTAGGGGTTTCACTTAGGAGGAGTGAAATGGGTGAAAGTTGAATATTATTTGGAAAATATTGAAGTATACTTGACTCGTATCAAAATAAAGAATCAGTTTGAAAATTCTTGATTTGCAATATTGTGTGAGTGCTTTTTCAGTTCCCATTTCTAATAGCACCAACTTCGTTGATATTCGCTCATGCCCTGTAACCAATTGTAGCAAATCACATCGAATGACACAGACAAAACCAGAGCATGTAAACAAGAAAATTGCTAGAGAGAGAAGCAAACTTCCCTATATCAAGAGTATGCAAGAATACAGTACAATTCCACCTGTACCACCACCAGTGCTATACTTGAGATATCGTTAACTATGGATGGTGGAAATCCGAGAAAGATGCTCAGACTTGTAGACCAGCCTGACAATGGGTGACCAAGTGAACCAATCATTACAAAGATTACTATAACAAATATATACAGAAGAAGTCAAGTCCCAGAAACATTTAGAGATATCTTCGTTAGAGACATACAATGAATATCTATAGACCTTTTCCTTTTCTAAGTACCAAAAGTTGTTAAAAACAATCTCAAGCAAGCTACTAAAATACAATGAACATCTATAGACGTTTTCCTGTTCTATGCATCAAAAGTTGTTAAAAGCAATCTCAAGCAAGCTACTAAAACAACAATAACAACAACATGATAAGCCTTTCCGAAGAAGTTTAGGCATATTACGGTATTTCTATATTTTATAATATTGCCTTCTATATTTCCTATTCGATATTTTCTATTTTATGCTTCTAGGGTTTTGTTAGTCGTTTATTATAAATAAGAATAAGAGGGTATGGGGATAGATATTGGAGAATTAGTTGGTTTCTTGGGGAGAGTTTGGTGACCTCTCAATAATCAAAACATACAGAGTTGAGTAATGATCACACGGGTTTTTCACCGGTTTTATAACGTCGTGCATCACAATTCTCCTCACATTCTAGGCATTATAGGACGTTAGATGGCCATGGGTAGGTTGTTTTGCTTGTTTTTCCTTGCAGGAAGACTCCACGATGAATCCTCACGAAGCGGGCACGAAAGAACAAGAATTCGAGAATGCTCGGGGAGCTCAGACAAAACGAGCGACCCGCCCATTTAATGAGCGGTCGCCCGTTTTGTGAGCGGTCGCTCGTTTTATGAGCGGTCGCTCACTTTTTCGCGTATCAGAGGAAAATGAGCGACCCGCCTGAAAAATGAGCGACCGGAAGAAAAATGAGCGACCCGCCTGAAAAATGAGCGACCGGAAGAAAAATGAGCGACCCGCCTGAAAAATGAGCGACCGGAAGAAAAATGAGCGCCCCGCCTGAAAAATGAGCGACCG